CAAGAAACAGAACCTTGGATTCATTAAGCACACTGTAATGTAGATGATTTCCAGGTCATGCTACTAGTGGATCCTTATCTCTAATTGCCCCAGGAGAAGACAGGCACAGACCATTCCTTCATAGATCTTGGGCATTTCTTCTGTGTTATTTTGTCCAAAATGGGTTTGAAGCTATATATTTTGTTTCTTTCCTGCTCACAATGAACTGTATTTGTTAATTACATTCTTCTTATGCATTTGCTACTTAGAAATCATGCTTTTCAATACCTTTTTTTTCTCCTGGAAGATGATTTCTGCTGATGCAAAATTATAAGTAATTATGAAGTTTACATTAAGGATATAAGTAAACAAGAGCTTATTAACAATTTAAAAACAGTTTGAGTTCTTTCAAAACCCCCTAGAATTTGCTTTGTCTAGCACAGCAGTGTTATATGTAAACTATATGTGTCAGAAGGTAAAAATATAATAGCATGTCTTTGACCTAGATTCATACTCTAATTTTCTCTACCACACTGGAATTTCTTGCAAAAATGGCATTGTGTCCTTTTGATTTTGCAACAACAACAACAAAAACCCTTAAATTACAGATGCTAGAGATTGGTCTGAGAGAATTCTTGGGAATTTGTTTCACGATTTAAATTAATTCAGTTGTTTTGGATGAAAACAAAGAGGATGAAGCAGACCACAAAGTAATTTATTCCCTCATGCTCCTAAAAACTGTTTTCTTTCTTAATAATGACCCCATACTAACCAATACAGCATCCCAGAAAAGACACAGAAAACAATATTTGCACAACAGAGCAGCCATGAGGGAGCATTCTCTTTCTCTGGTCAATGTTTTGCCTTTACTAAATGAGATAAGCTTTATCTGTGCAGAAGTACTGCAGTCAAACCACAAATGATGAATGCTCAGGTATGCTGGAGAACAGTGCAAATAGCAATGTAAACAGAGGAATTATTTCAGCTCTGAGCAACTCTCAGTGTGCAGAAAGTCTCCATAGTATTTGTGGAGCTGTGTAGTAGTTAACTGTGAATATGTTTTCATTGTTAGCTCCTACTGTAAAGCAATTGTCAGTTTATTAAATAGGCTTGTCTTAGCATGGTGCATAGCTTGCCAAGACTTAGGTAAAGTAAGTGCTTTGGAATGAAAGTGAAATTAACTGGATTACATTTCTGCGTAAGCTGATGTATATCATGTTGACCTATTGTATACACCACGCACTGTCAAGCAGTTAATGCCACTATTTGTTTGACAGTCTGCCTCACATACAGTTAAGCCACCTGTGAGCAATGCAAACACCTCATTTGAATGCCTATAAATTTTGAATAACTTGCTAAATGTAGTTTGTATGCAACAGCTTTCGAGAAGAGTTGCTGTAAAGGTGCTGCTCTATGTATATCCTATTTGTGTTTCTCAGTGGTTCAGAATTATGTTCCATTATATTATATGAAATGGAAAATATTATATTATAGTATTTTAACAGGACCTTGATTTTTCTGTCAAATGTATCACAAAGTACAAACAAAAATAACTCCACTGAGGTCAGTGAAGTCGAATGAAAATCCTTTGTTTTAAATATTTTTCATTGTAGTTGAATTAGGGATTTTGCAAATAAGATCACATTTTTAGATTGGTTCCAAGCAATCAGATATGAACATATTTGATTGTCGGGCTAGAAGAATTACTTGTTCTCAAAACTAAAGGTGTTATTTTGTTGGGATATTTAATGAAAATTATCTCTCTTTCTAGTACAAGTCTACTATCTCCCAGCTTTATATCAGTGTGAAATTTAAATTTGTTGCTTCAGGTAGTGAGGAAGACTTTTTTTTTTAAAAAAAAAAAAAAAAAAAGCAGCACATCTTTTTTGAAGTCATTCATGGTAGCTGTTAAAAACTGCTGGATGCACTGAAGTGCTGGGAATAATTTGAGAATTTGGCTAAGCTGAAAGTCAGATTTCAAATGAAGAGTCTGAAAAAGCAGTGACTTAAACATATACAGCTGCCACATTAATTTTGGTGGAGCCTAAACATACTTAAATATTTTGCACAACAGTACAATAATCCATAATTCAATCCATAAACACTTAACTCATTGGCTATATCAGGAAAACATTTTCTGATGCTGAATTACATATGGACAATGTTACACACAGACATAACACACATATTGTGTGTGTTTGGATCACAAAAAGGGCTGTCAGATGCCACGTGAAGAAGAATGTCATGTTTGCTAAAGGCTTGTTTTGAACGAATGTAACTTCACTGATAAGTTTGGAGACTGTCCCTAAAAAAAAAAAAAAGAGGAAAAAAAAGATGATGTTTGAAAAGTCACTTCATTAATATGCTGTGATTTAACTGTTTCATATTCTGCCTTTCATAGGAAGCACTGAAAAATGCCTTGTAGAGTGAGGTAGAAGGGAAACACAGGCAATTAGCCTGGGGTGCAGCAGCTTTCACATTTGGGGAAAAAAAAAAAAAAAAATACCAACCACACAGTGATGGAATAGAGAGCTGAGATTAAAGTCAGGAAAGGTGGTGTTGTGCAGGTGTCCAGGATAGTGGGAGTTCATTAGGCATGCGAGGTAGGTTCATGAGGAAGGAAAAACTAGAAGAAAGTGTCCGAAAGACCATATGAAACAGAGAAGACATACATCTACAAAGCACAGTGTTGCTTTAACCTTGCTGTCAGGCATCAGTAGTGACCCTGTTCTCATGAACTCTGAATGTATGAATATCCAAAGAAATTAGTAGTCTTTAAGCTTCGGTGTCAGTATCCCTCAGTATTCTCAATTATAAATGTATGACAGCCTAAGAAAATGCATAAGAAAGGTCTGTATGGAACGGCTGCCATTTTGCAATTTGTCCTGTCTTGCCATGACAGAAAATAACTTCTAATAGTAGAGGAGAGTTTTGTGCTTAGTAGTGAATGTGTTCTCTGTTTCAGTTGACTTTTCAGACACTTTGTATTCTTCTCACTCAGTATCATTTCCTCTGCTCCTATTACTGCAAGGTTGTTTTTTTTTTTAATTTCTCATGGTCAGGGAATGAGTATTTTATTTTTGCTGTCACTTGTACTATTAAACAGTATTTTGAAGAAAGAAGAGTGTATGCAACCGTATGAATTTTGCTTCTCAAAAAGTTGCTTGAGACAAGGGGAAGGAAAAGCAACAGAATGCATTTGCATGAAAACAGCTCTGTTCAAGGTCATAGCGGAGAACTCCAGTTTTAAAGCTTCTTTCTGGCTTGAGGAGAAAGTCTCACTTAGATGCAGAATGTAGCGGGCCAGCTCTTGTCTCCAGCACTGTGTGAGGAACAAAGGTGTTGTAGTTCCAAATGTCCCTTCTCCCACTTGTAGGGCAAGTATTAAACAAACAGGACAAACCTGAGAATCAGCACAGGGCCAGATAAAGATAATACAGTATTAAAGAACACAGTCATGAAATGGAAAAACACTGAGGCCAGGCATGATGTACTGTGCAGAAGCATTTAAATCAAGAGAGATTTGGATTATTTATAACCTAACATTGGAAGAATGTCAAGGTTTTAATGCCTGTTCTGTACTTCAAAGGAGAAAGTGGAAACTTCTTACTGAGCAAAGTACAGAAATAAAGGGCAGAAGAGATGCTTGTGGAGATGTGTGTACATCTGCATCTATCCAGCATGGTTCTGGTCCTTGCTCCTTGACACTGAAGCATACTGTTATGGTGGAGCATGTATGTCACAGACAAATCCAAGATGTGACTGTGGTGCACATGTCAGTAAATGCCTGCACCCCTACTGGAACTATAATGAAAGTTCAGCAAAGTATTCCTGTTGGGAGTTATAGTTTCTGCTCTCTTTGTGCTCTCCGACCCCAGATGCACATTTCTGTGGTTCCAGGCCAATAGTTTGTAACTAGAAATTCTGGTCTGGCTGTACATAGGATGAGCAAGGATGCAGGTACAGGAGGAGAGGTTCAGAAGATAAAGTGTGGATTGAGGTTATAGGTGGTGGGCAAGTTCCAGCTCTGTGAACATGCATGTAAAATAAATGAATGCAATCCTATAATCTATTCTTAAATACACGCACGTAGTAGAAATACCAAATAAAGATATATATATTCTCTTTTCTCAAGCATAATTATTCTTCCTTGCACTGTATTGATCCCTTATGGAAGAAAACCACTGCATTTGTTCTTTGTTAATTCTAAACTTGCTATTCATTAATTCTGCTGCATAAGATTTCATTTACACAATATAAAAGCAGATCTTTTATACAGTCAGCATTTCAGACTTATGGTATTTGCTTTACATCACAGTTCTTTGAATTTTATTTCAAGTGTACTCTCAAGCAAGACCAACGATTTGCATACCTTGAAAAACATTTCTACCCTTACAGCTGCTTTTTATTTCTTCTAGTTGCTTGTTGGAATCATGGCTCTTCTGAGTGGAATATTAACATTAATGCTTCCAGAGACACTTGGAAAACCTTTGACTAATACTTTGGAGGAAGCTACAGAAATGGGAAGAAAGAAGGAAAACTGCTCAGGAAAGACTCCTCCAGCAGACAGTGGTGCAGCATTAGAAAAGATAGAGATGTTTGGTCAAGAAACAGTCAGCACTGAGAAATAAAACAAGATCAAAATGGCTGCTCCCAGTTTTAACAATTATATAATTTATAGGTCATTTTATTCAAGAAAAGACTGTTCTGTAATATCTGTGCCTTTAAATTTGTAATACATCTTGCTTTTTTGACAGAGCAAGAGTATGAAACCTTTTCCACTTGACTGAATTACTGCAGAAAATTTGATGAGATTTCTAGGTCCCTTCTCAAACTTATTTTGCCTTTAGAAAACCTGTCTGACTTGCTGTGACCAGTTGGAGTGATTATTTTAAGTTCTGTAAACTACCTGGTTACATATATGTAAAAAAAAAAAATGCCAATTCTTACTTCGGATTTTCTGTGGTTAGACTTGTAAACCCACCACACTGTGTCTTGTCCTTTTGCAGTTGTCAGTTATAGACTTGAGAATTCAATACATAGTGAAGTCAAACTCACAGTTATAATTCAAGAGAGAAGCCTTAACATTTCATCAGGTCATACTAATAATTTCAAACTTAAACTATTTTTTTTTTCTTTTCAAAACTGCTTCCAGAAAAGTTATCATTTCTAACAAAAGTATTCTGTGGAATAGCTTCTGACTGAAAAAATAATACTGATTTTGCAAAATGTGCAAATAGTTTGTATACTATTCACTCTGTTGAATGGTAAATGTATTTTTATTAGTAGCTTAGAAAAAATTGTTCACTGGATCTACTTGCTGTCTTAGTAAGTTCTTTTTTAGAGAAAACTGAATACTTTAAAGTATTTTTCATTCCAGACTATTATTTCTGTGCACCTCTTCTCACTTTGTTCAGGTCAGATTAAGTCTCAGATTTGTCTAATGCTTCAGAGCAACACCAACACTTGCGTGCCAAACACTTCCATAGAGGCTGAGCCCTTCTTAGTCCTCAGAGGAGTAGAACAAGTGGTGTATGGGTCTTATTCAGGCTCTCTGCAGCAGTGGTCTTAGTTATTAAAGAAAGATTAGTAGGCATGGCATCTACACACCATTTGTATTAGACTCCATAGACTCTGCAGACTCCATTTTTTCCTTACGGTACAAAAAAATCAGTTACAAAAGTATAAATTAAAAAATGATATCTAGAGGACAGAGAGTTATTACTTATTCTGGTTAGTCAGAGTGTCTGTCAGTGTCTTTTAGATCTTGTGTGAGCATCAACACTCATTTACTGGTGCAGTGACTGTGCCTTATGATTGTGGACCATAGAAAACGTATAGATAGGAAAACATAATTCTAGCTGCTCATATATGGCTTTCTGTCCCAGCTCTCTTTTTGCAGTTTACCTCTCATCCCAGAGGTTTCTTCCTTGCCTGTGAGTCTGTATCCTCTCAGTCGCCCTTGTTTGAGCAGATTGGTGTGGGAAGCTTCTCAACATCCCTTGCCTGCCTTGTGTGAGCCCTGCTATCCCTGGTGTGAAATCACAGTTCTCACCTGAGGCACCTATTCACAGGCTAACTGACACAAACTCACAAAAGCAAGTCTCTCCATGTTTACTTCTTTGACACGTACCCCAAAATCAGACATCTAAATTATTGTAGATGAATATTCTATATGCTGTGTAGTTTATTTCTCATATTTTTTCTGTTATATCTGCATGACCATATTAGTTTTAGTGAATTCTGAAACCAGAGTAATTGTTTATATCCCCCTATAAAATATTCTTTCTTCTTCACTGCGCTGTCCTAGAGTGCTTTGGTTCTGGATATAGGATTCAGTCATGTCTAATGTAACAACTAACGTGCTTTGAAGGCAAGCAAAAATCAGTAAGTTTAAGATTAGGGTGTTTCTGTGCAATAATTAAAGAGATCATTGTTCTCCCTTCAGTTATGTGGGTGTCCCAGTATTTGCAGAGAAAACCTCTGAAGAGAACTACATGGATTACTATGGCTTCTATCAAGATATAATTTGCTCAGCAAAAGTATGTGCTTTTAACCTTACCCATGTGAGTAATCCCATCATCATTCAGAGGAGCACGAGAATACATACTGTGATGACTAAAGATAGGATTACTCATATGCTGTGGCTTTCTGTTTTGCTCAGGAACAGACCCAGTATTCTTCCACTGCTTTCAGATCCCCCTGTCCCAGAGCAGAACAACTGCCATTATCTTCAGGATCTGTTGCCAAACCCCGAGTGCCCCACCTTAAACAAGGACTTAACCATACTAAGGAAGAAAATGGCATGCAGTAGTTCTAATGGGCAGTTAAACTGATTCGGTCTGACTTTACAGCCACTCTCCCCTTCACAGAGCTCTAAATAATTGTGTTATTTTGGGATTCTTTCACATGATACTCTCTCTTTTTTTCATTTGTATCTTAAACACTTCTGCTTTCATTGTATGGGACAGTGCAGTATGTTTTAACAAGGTACTAAAGAACAATTTTAAATTACTTTTTCTGCTTTCTTATCTGCAGAATAACTGATTTGGACATTACTCTGCTTTAAATAGCCGATGCATGTTATGTTTTCCATTGACCTGAGGGATTCAAGACCAGGTCATCTGTAATTGGTACATGTAGTGTAGGGAAAATAAGAAAAAAGGAAAGCCTTAAATGCACAATGATAGTGAGCAATCCTTGCGGGCTACAGTTTTAATCTGTACTCTGAAACACAATGCAGCCTGATGGCTTTTAACCCTTAAAGCTAGTTCTTCCTGTCCCTGATGTCAGTTTGTACTTGGTCTTTAATTCAAGTGAGACTTGAATTTCCCTGAACCAATTATGCTTTTTTTTTTTTTTTTTCTCGTGGAAATAAAATGTGAATTGATCAACAGGTGCACCTTTTGGGATTTTATGCATGAGTAGCTCTGAGGATGCTCTGTGGCTTCCTGTCCTTTCAGGTGAAGAAGTACATTACTGTAAAAAAGGAAATAGCATTTCTGAATTTCTATCTGTAGAATTTCTGTTTGTTTCCTTTTCCTTGTGGAGGAAAATATGTTTAACACCAGTTCTATGTTATAAATGCAGCGTAGATGGGATGAGTTGATTTCTTTCTCTTCAATATTCATAAATTATCTAAATCCTCTTGAAAGAGAGGACTGAGTTTGAGAAAAAGAGCTTCTAACTTGCTTTGGGGCATGTTTTCCTCTCACTGCTAATAAAAACAATTCCTTTTCATAGTTTTTATCTGAGTCCTCCAGTTCTTTTAAGTTTGTATTTGTCATATCCATCTTAGAGCAAATTTATCGTGCTGAACGATGGCTCTGGAGATATGTGGCAGTATTATGAGTTTTGGATTAGAATTCTTATCTGTCTTAATTGCTGCTGGTCATTGTTTCACAATGATAATTTGTTCTGTCCTAAAATTGATATAGTATTTTATTGAGCAGTCACACAGTTTGTTAGGGACTGTGAAGGGTCAGTGAAGGAATTTTCATTAGTTCAATGACAACTAAAGAAAATAAGTAAATGTGCTTGATATTTTTAATCTGTATTTTTGAAAGTCTGTGAAGAGATGCATTTTCTACTTTTATAGCTCACTTCAGTTTATAGAAGTTTCTGTCACTTAGAAAACACTGTAGACAAAAGAGCTGTGCAAACAATATGCACTCTGTGTCAAATGCTTTGGGCTGTGCCCTGAGTGAGTGAGGGAGAAAGTCCTGCCTTCAGGATTCTGGCAGAGGAGTTCTGTATGACAGCTCTGTGGAAACATAAGATGGTGTGACACCTCTGCTCTGGGTGAAAAGGGGGTGGAGGGCTCACTGGCATTCTCCTGTGTCTTTCACAGTTTATTTTTACCAGCTCCTTACGTGCAGTCGCGTAGGAAGCCTCCATAGCATGGGGCTCAGCAACATGCAAGTTCTTTGTGTGTGCCTTTCACAGGAGCTCACAAAATGCAAGGTCATTTGAACTGGGAGGGCATGATGCCAGAAAGGCATTTATGACTGCTAAAAGGAGGGTGTGGATCCATCTTGTACACTTGTCTGTGTATCTGAAAGATGCCTGCCTGAATCCCACAACAGAATTGCAGGGAACAAATTAAACTCCAAGATTAAAATAGTGAGTAAGGACAAAAGAACAAGTTTATGCAATCAGAAAAACAAACAAACAAACAAACAACAAAAAACCCAGCAACTCAGTGACTTCAGTCAAGCCGTATCTGCATTGCTTTCATCTCTCATGAAGAAAAGTTATAGCACAGCTGTGTCTTCACAACCTAACCATTTTGTATGTGATCGTGAACCAGGTGCATTTTGGAAACATGAGGAAAGTATGTGTTCTTGGGAAAGAGTTTATTTGCCCAGAATATGTGGCTTTAATACAATATATGTGAATAATGATTTTTTAACATACATGTAACTGCAGATAATAAATACTGCAGTATTATTATATTATTATTATTATATAAATAAGAATAAAGCTAATCACATTATTTAATCTCTACACCTTTATGTAATGTAATGAACTCCTAACGCTCAGCAGCTCTTTTTGGTGCATGCTTCTTGCAGGAGCTGGGCTGCTGCTCTGGCATTTCCTGCAGATCCCTCCTGCAGTAAAACACATGTGATATCTGTTTCCTGTTTTCATATGCAGATGTAAACTGATATTTGTATAACAACTCATTATGTGGTTACCTGTTTTCCATTTCGGTTGCAGGAAGAATATGATTCTTTTCTCTCAATATTTGTATAAGCTGGCTGGAGCAGTAGTCCCTAGGACAAATTTAGTAGTGACAAAAATAACTATGGATATTGAAAAATGGGTAGGAATTGATTAAAAAAGAGAGTAGGTGACTGTAGGGATGACAGAACAATGCAACTTGTATCCACTTGGCGTTTTGAGGATGTGAAAACTAAGTGTAACTAACTTCTTGCAGGAACTGAAGTTCACAGACGGCATAAGGAAAATGAGAATTGCAGTTATCTGTAGCCCTATTCTTTTTTATTTGTCCTTTAGTCCTTCTGAGGAACCTACTTATTTTCCACTTCTCTTAACTTTCAAATTAGTACAAGTTGTGCCATGCATACTTTGTTAATCTTGTTTATTTAGATCAAGTTACACCCAACACTTGGCTTCATCATTCTTGTATTTAATGGCTTTATATGTCTTTGGTAGGTAGTTTAGATTTAGAAGGTAACTGGAGTGAGTACTTTTGTTAAGAGAAATGTTATGCAGGAGATGATGAAAAACAAAGAACTCGACAGAAGCCTGTTAAAATACTGTTTTTTTTTGCTAGTGGTAAGAAATCTGAATCACCTCTGATACTGATTTCAAGAGCACTGAGTTCAATGAAGCTGAGAAAAATCAAGCCTAAAAAGCTAATATCTCAAATGAGAAAGTTGCTTTCTTAAGGTGTCTGACATATTAATATGATTGCAAAGAGATTTGGACACAAAAACAGCTCTTTCAAAGAAATGACTAGGCTAGGTTTATGAACAATTAGAAGTAATGGCGAATTGCTTCCCAGTCTAGTGACAGATTAACTCCTCTCCTCCTGCATGCCTGTCTGACACAGGCTTTGATACCATTTGGGTGCTTGTTGTGGGGGAGAAAGGACCCAGCCATGAGCCTGGATCGTGGGCCTCTAGTTATTCATGTTGCCTTCTAATGTTTCACTTGCGGAGAAAGATGACTTGCACTGGATGGAAAAAAAGAGCACCACAGGGCAGTTCTTACAAAGATTCCCTCCATGGTTTCATTGCCACTGATGAGAAAGAAAAGCAGTTTTCACTGAGGCGGTCATGAATGTAGCAAAAAAAAATAAAAAGTACTTTCACAAAGCTTTTTGATATGGAAATCAGTATTGCCAGTACCTTTCTGATATTAAGAGATTTCTTCCCTGTCTTATACAATTCTCTGTTCTTCTCAAAACTTGCAGAGAAAATCAAGCTGTACTATCATTTTGGCAAAATTATTCCTTGTTCTTTTCATCACTGAAGGAAAAAGTGCATCTAAAAAGGTCAGTGATTATGTGTGTGTATGCAATCATGTCTTTACTTGCACGGTTTCAGAGCAGCTCTGCAGGGAGGTGAGGCAGGTGCTGTGCGCAGTCTGTGCTACGTTTGCCCTACTGCTGTGCTCCCAGGCCCCTTGGGGGTTTCCTGCTCAGTGTTGAGGCAGCTGTGAGGAAAAGGCTTCTGCCAGGAGGACTCATGGCAAATGCTGCTCCAGGAGGATGGAGGGGAGCTGCGCTGCTGAGCCTCTGAGTTCAGGCTGTCAGTAGTCAGCTGAAATGCCACAGCAACACCATGTGCCCTGCAGTAAGACACCCTGCTGTACAATGTTATCAGGACCCTGGGGATCCTGCAGGCAGGTGTGCTTCTGGCTAAGTTGCATTTTCCTGATGACAGCATAAATGCTCGCAGGCTTGGCTGGCTGGCTTGTTCTTATCAACCATGCTGACTGACGTGCCATATGTGTTATCACCACTCTCACTGCCTGCTGGAATCTTACAGTGAGCCCAGGACAATTTCAGAAACACCCAGTGTGCAGCTAATTGCTAGTAAGAGAGGTAAAGTGGGACGGAGGAGCCTGGGAGCCTCCTCTCCGTGCAGCAAGCCAAGTCCTGGCAGCCGGGAATAGGGTTCAGCTGTGCCCGGGCTCAGAGCCAGTGCTGGGCCGGACACACGCAGCCTGCAGCAGCAGTGGGGCTGGGGCAACTCTCAGGCCCACCCGGCCTCTCTTCTCCAGGTATTTTCCTCTCCCCACTCTTGTTTATTTCTGTTTCTGTTTTGTTTTTTGTCAGCTGAGATGGTGCTCAGCGGGCAGGGAGGGAGGCAGTGGCCTGCTCCGGCAGTGGCAGGGCCGCAGGGCAGAACCGCAGGCATCAGGGGGGCTCAAAGAGGTGGGACTGCACTTGGGTATGGCAGGAGATGGGTCAAAAAGAATCTGCCTGCACTGCAGGGAGACAAAACCGACAGCTTTCCTCTGGCCTGGCCATTTGTTCTGGCCACAGAGGAGCAGGAGGGTGGCGGGGGCACTGTGTCAGCTGGCTGGCTATGTTGGGTAAAAATAGCCTGTCCTTGTGAGCCCTCCCAGGTGCGTGCAGGCAGGAGTGCGAGTAATCCTTCTGCTCATTGCATCAGCAGCTTTGCTGAGCCCAGGCTGTGCTTGCTGCTGGGAGCTGAGTGGCCTTTAGCCTGTGCTTTGCACTCAGTTATTTTTTGACACGTTAGCACATTAAAGTCTGATGTGCTCCTGTCTTGCAGCAGTTGGTGCTGGAACAACAGCGTGACAACTGTCCATCGTGTTTGGGCTCCTGTGGGCTCCAGCAGCACCGGCAGCCCCTTCCTGCTCACACTTCTGACAGTTTTTGCAGTGCTGGGGTCAGCCGACATCAAACCATCTCGCTTGTGAAAATCCCATCTGAACCGGAGAGGTTTGCAGTGAAACCCAAGCTGCCACTGAGCTGCAGTTCCCCTTTCTTCCCCAGCCGCAGAGAGGTCAGTCGGGAAATTCAATCCCCATCTTAGGCCTTAGGGCGCTGGAAGGGCTGAGGGGTGTGGCTTGTGTTCAGGACAGAATTTCTTTAGACTGGGTTTATGGTGACAGCAAAATGGATTGGCGGTGCTGGTTCAGGGTTCTTCTTTACTCCTGTTTCCTCTTTCCTTGCTGTGTGGGCACTTTTGTGGTTGCCTTGTGAAAGGAGATGTAATAATTGACAGGAAAAGAGTTAAGCATCATCCCAGAACAGGAGGAGAGGTTGCAACAATCCTGGGCTGTGGTGCAGAAAGAATGCAACAGTAAGCAGCAGTGCTGGTCAATCCCCCCCTTACCACACAGCAGGGACATGGCTTAGTGAGCATGATGGTGGTAAGTTGATGGTTGGACTAGATGATTTTAGTGGTCTTTTTCAACCTTAATGATTCTATGACATCAAACTTCATGTAGTTCTGCGGGGAAAGTGAGAAGTTATGAAGTGTTGTCGGTAAGGACCTTGTAAGTACGTGTAAACTCACGCAGCTTGTCTTATCCAAACTTTCATCAAATATGTCAAAGGCCATGGAAAGATGGAAGGGAAGTCAGCATTACCCTTACAACTGCAGGTGCTGTTTTCCAGAAAAGACTCTCAGAGAGCAATAGGTGAGGCTGGATTCTGAAGTCAAGGATGAGTGAGTCCCCTAGGACACATGAGGAGAACAAACGTAAAACTGTAGCAAACAAGACCAAAGGCCCCTCTCAACTAACACCCTTTCCAAGAGTCAAAATTGGCAGTACTTCAGGAAGGCATGAGAGCTGTAGGCAAAAGAAACTTTTCCCCATGGCGCACCCTCAGCTTTTGGCAGGGATCCCCAAAGGAATGTAGGTGCGCCTCAACTCTTGTATTTAATAAAAGCTTAATAATAATGTAATTCATTAATTAAAGATAAATCTGAAGGATTTATCACCTCTGCCTTTGTCCAGTCTGCTCTGGGCCCATTTATTCCCTGGCTTTAGGGAGTTTGCAGATGCTGACATCCAAATAGCCGCTCTTTGGTGGCTAGAGGCCAGTTTTCCCAGAACTCCAAGGGACATTTCTGTACTCCTGACCCCACAGGAAGATTGATGGGTGCCTCACTCCCTGGGTGTTACTGAGAAAGCCTTACCCCATATTGCTACACCACTGCTCTCTGCACCGACCTCTCTCTTGCTCTGTGCTTGTGGATGGGACAGGGACTGTCTGAGTTGGGACACTTCTCAAACATGGGTTGTCATGCTGAGGGGTGGTGATGCTCATCCTCACCTTTGTGCAATGGCAAGTCTTTATTTAGCTGCCAGGGGTTATGTTGTGTCCTGTGCAGGTGTTTAAGAGCTGAGGATGCTGTGCACACTGCAGCTGGGACACGTTACCTATGCACCATCTCAAATGCCCATAGGTGCCTGTCTCCACCAGTCCCCACCCCACAGATGGCAGCCCCCAGAGTGGCAGTGGTGGGCGCGGGGCTCATCGGACTGTCCACAGCGTTACGTATTGCTGAGGTGAACCCCAACTGCTGCTCCATCACTCTCCTTTCAGAGCAGTTCAGCCCCAACACGACGAGCGATGTGGCAGCTGGCATGCTCATCCCCCACACCTACCCAGGTGCGTGTGAGCTGGTGTGCCAGCATTTTGAGAAAAGTACCTTTTCCTTCACTCCCACCTGTCCTGTCTCCTCGGTGCTGCCTTGTGCACTTCCACCCTTTCTGTTTTCACTCTCCTGTATGTTTGGTTGTATTTGCATGCAGACACACCAATCCACGTGCAGAAGCAGTGGTTCAAAGAGACCTTCACCTACCTTTTTGCTATCAGCAACTCAAATGAGGCATCAGAAACTGGCATTCACCTGGTCTCTGGGTAAGAGCAACCGCAGGGCAGCCTTTGGCACGCATCTACTGTGTGCTGCAGCAGGCAGAGGCTTTTCTTTCTGAAGCACAGGTGCAAGCCTCTCATAGGGTAGCTCTCATGACCATATTCCCAAGAAACTGCACTGCAGCTGCTTCAATAGGATATATTTTCAAGCAAAGTTCATGCATAGGTATGCATAGAGAAACAATGTGATACTGGCCTGCCCCAAACTATTTTTTATAATGGATATTCTCTGTGCTGTCACCAACCAGCTGCTTGCAGCAGAGGTGATCTCCGGAGGGGTGGGACTGCAGGATGCTCCAGCTTAAGCAAGTTGGCATGAGAGTGCAATGGGTGTGTGCAGGACTGCTTCATGCTGCCTGTGGTGTACACTGAAATCTGCCTGTTGGGTGTGCTGGAGCTGGGCTTTATGAGTACATGAAAACATGTGATCTTCTCTCCAGTCCCTCCACAATCCCAGCTGCAGCCTTTTGTGATCATACTATTTTTTTCAGTTCTTGGCATTTGACAAGTTTTAATGTGGACCCTGAGCCTCTCTCCAGTTGATCTTCCCCAGGGTATAACACTCAGACCTTCTGCCTGTGTGCCAGGGCACGTGCTGTGGTAGCAGGCAGAAGTGATTGCCCTTTGCAGAGTTGTATAGTTCAGTGAGAACAGACTGCTGAATCCTTGGGTTTGTGCTATGATTGCAGCAATGGGGCATAGCACTAGCAGCTACGTTTTGCAGCTTATTTTGCTTGTGCTCTTTCAGCTGGCAGATCTTTAAAAACCCTTCTGAAGCTGAGGTGCCTTTCTGGTCTGACATTGTCCTGGGGTTCCGACCAATGTCTGCAGCAGAACTGCAGAAGTTCCCACACCACAGCCACGGCCAGGCCTTTACAACACTGAAGTGTGACTGCCCCCCCTACCTGCTGTGGCTAGAGAAAAGGTAGGTTTGGGGCAGGATGGGTGTGCAGAACAGAAAGCCCAGGTGGGGAGGTTGGTGGGGGCTCATTATGCATGGATAGAATTGGAGAAAGGAAAATGCAGCAAGCTGACTGTGTACATTTAGCCTGTGTAAGTACTCTTAAAATGAGCAAATGATTGTCTCCTCTTGAGAGAAAGTGATAGGCTGCAGTCTGATTTGAGGTTAAGTGAAGAGACATGTACCCATGCTGTGGTACAAATTGCCAGCTGAACTGATGGCTTGGATGCTTTTCATCTCATTGCAACATGGGAGAGAATGCTTCATGTTCCAGCAGCCATCCTGGGAGGCTGCAGAGCTGTGGGAGTGCTGTGCTGCCTGCTCTGTGCATACACTCTGTCATGTTCCATTGCTAACCAAGTTGGAAATTGCTGCTGAAGTGCAAGCAAGTTGTTAAATTCACTTAGTATCTGCCACATGGTATCTGGTCTTACCTTAATCTGTGTATAACCCTCCTATTCATCAAAGAATGTAATCTAATGAGATGATTAGGTTTTTTTTCTTTCTCCCCGGTGATGAGAAACAAGGACATACTAAACATGTAACTAATTCAAAACCCTGGTGATGTGAACAGTGTTTATCGACTGTTCACTTGGCAAGCTACAGGGAAGACACTCACCGTGCTGGTCCAGCAGTGGACTTCAGAATATTATCCCTGTTCATTTCCTCTAATTCAGGAGTTTCAGCAGCTTTTTATTGGTATATTTTTTATGGTGCAATGGCAGCATCCCAATGACAAAGCTTAGGTTAGGGTAGTATGGTTAGGTTGCAGTTGGACTTGATGATCTTTAAGGTCTTTTCCAACCTGAGCATTTCTATGATTCTATGATTCTTAGGGGCTTTCCTAGCACTTTGCTGAGCCAGGGCAGCTGCACAAGACCTCCTCAGATCCCACAGCATCCCCCTTGCACCCAGACCCCCTGTGTCGGGAGCTGTGTTGGAAATGGATGTGGAATATTGAAAGTGCAATAATGATGGCACTAGCATAAGTGGTTGGTGGTAAAACTGATCTTTTCAGCTTGCCTGAGTTGTTAAAGCTTGGAAGCCTATAGATGTGAGTTTCTGAGATCACGAGGATCTGTCTACGTAAGGTCATATGCCAGACCATTCCACTGTACATTTTCCAGCCTAACCAAGTTAAAAAATAGCTTTGATGAAGCCAAATCTGTCAGATCACAAACAGAAGCCCCATGGTGTTTTCTTTACTTTTTGTCCCTTCTGCTGTCGCGTTTTATTTTTGATCTGTATGTTGAAGACAATCTCATATACTTAAAGTGCCTAATAATTACATGTGGATCTAAGAGGGTTCTTTTCTGCCTCAATTCTGTTTTTGTTTGTTTATTTGTTTGTTTACAGGTTGAAAGCAAACGGTGTCCAGATACACACCAGAAAAGTTGCAGATCTATGGGAGCTGCACAGCGAGTATGACATTGTTGTCAACTGTGCGGGCATTGGAGCCCGCCAGCTTGTGGGGGACCAGCAGTTGTTCCCTATTAGGGGTCAAGTGCTCAAGGTTCATGCTCCTTGGGTGAAAAACTTCATCCGGGATGGGGATGGCTTAACTTACATCTACCCAGGGATAGACAGCGTAACTCTTGGGGGAACCAGGGAAAAGGAGAGCTGGCGTCTCTCCCCTGACCCTGGCACTACCAAAGACATCTTTGACAGATGTTGCTCCCTTGAGCCTTCGCTGCAACGAGCTCAGGATATCAGGGTGAAGGTGGGCCTGAGGCCATCCAGATCATGCGTGAGACTGCAGAGAGAGGTTCTGAGCCAGGGAGGAGCCAAGCTGCTGGTGGTCCACAACTATGGGCATGGTTCAGGTGGCTTTTCAGTGCACAGAGGCACAGCCGAGGAGGCCGCTCACCTGGTGGGAGAATGCATTGCTGCTCTGCAGGGTTCCTCATCCAGGGCCAAGCTTTGAATCCCTGAACCTCCTTTTCCTTTTATAACAAGCTAATGCAGCATCTCGTTGTAGAACCTTTAGACTTTTATTTAATTGCTGGAGAGAAGGAAGCTAAAACAACTCGTGCCATTGCAGGCACTTGGTGTTATCTCACCTGGCTTCCAGTGGCCACCTTGGAAAAGTGCAGTGGGTCCATCCCAGCATTAGCCCAACTCTCCATCTCCTCCATCTGGTATCATTTCTGCCCTGGTGATTTCTTCTGGCTTTGTGCTTGGGAGGGTACAAGATACATAAATATCCTTCACATAGCAAAAATCACTGCTTCATTATAATACAAATAATATAAATTAAGCATTTATTCATCTATATCTAAAGCATATTTGATGTACTAGATTCAGTAAAATCTAATTCTCTGCTGTTGCATTAGATCTTCTCTAGTATTAGATCTAGTACTCTAGATCTTACTCTGCCACCTTGTTAATGAACTTTACAATTGCCTTTATGAGTTACAATAATAGTAAACCCCTGTTGAGTTGCTGCATGACAGTGCTTTTGGTTGACTCTTACAGAAAGCAGTGGTAGGGACAGGGACCCTGTCACGCACAGGGAACAAACAAGTATGATTTCAGGAGCAGGTTACATATTACAGCTTGCATGACTTGATACAAAATTTCTGTGAGAGGAAGTTGCCACATATGGGCCAGATTTGTACCTCAATTTTCATGCTTTATTGCAAATATCTTTTATTCTGAGTCTCTCTGATTTTGCTCTCAGAAATAAGATGATTTTTCCAAAATAGTAATGTTGAAATGGTCTGCCTGTATGATATGAAAGAGAATTTATCAGGGTGGGCTTGGGAGTGCAGAATTTTCTACTTCTTTTCAGCACTTGCAGCTTTTCTTGCAACAGTTGATGTAAATAAACCAGCGACAAACCAACAAAGATTTTAGCACGAACTGCAGTTGCGTAAGTGAGAAACAAGCCATGTAAGTCTAGATAAACACTGTAAAGAGAAATTTGAGCTTGCTGTCAAAGTACAAGATGAATGTCTGACTGTTAGTGATTAAACTGCTCATTAGACTGGAAATGGCTTATTTAACTGTTAGCATCCACTTTTGACTTGTTCTTTGTCCTCAAGATTACAAACCAAAACAAAATCCTTCAAGAAATAACATGATTAAATTTGATAAATAAAATTCTAATAGCAGAGCAAAAGTCATCAATGTGGTGTTTTCTTTCATAAATGAGAGTTTTTCTCTCATTCAAAGAGGCCTGGCAGAGCCAAGAAGGGCCCTTGTGTAACCACCATGTTCAGAAGAACTTGCCAACTCCTGCTACTGGCACAGAGAATGAGGACAGTTATCCTTCACAAGGGACAGCTGTTGAAAAGGGAATAATCTAAATAAAACTGCAGGTCAGTTAGTGCTTGGGAGCAACCTAAGCCAGCCCTGCCTTCAGCCATTTTGCTGCCTTCTTCTCAGCTCAGGCTGCCAATTTTATGCTTCCCCCCCGTCCCCAATAATTTGTCTTTTGAAAGGGCAGAGCTGCTGCTTTTGGCATTGTGCAGTGTTGGCATTGTGCTTGTCAAAGCACAGCTTTGTCCTCAAATAACACAGAACAAAGAGATACATGGCTTAAACCCATGAGAATGGGTTATTTTTTCCTTGATTTTAATCTGAAAAAAATGACAATGTTTAGCTTAAGTTTGAGCTACAAAAACTAATAATACTCATAGCATGAATATATAGCACCACATTCTGCACTTCTGTAATTGCCAATGTTATGTGATGACATGGGTTTTGTAAAGGGAGTTCTTTCAGCCAGTTCACGTGCCATTGCACTGCTTGTCTCATGAGATTGTTTTGCAGCTCCTTAGTTAGTTTACTAACTTGGATAAGATGGTCCCATCAGCAGTCTGAGTCACTTCACCACTTATCAGTACGTGGATTAGCACTGGCCCTGCTTTTCCTGTAGGATGCTATTGGTGACTTCCCCCCCTGTGTGAAAATGGCAGAAAAATGCTTTCATCACCTCTCTATTCTGTGGCCAGAACCTAATTCACAAGAGGATATTCCCTCGTAGCCCACACTAGATCAGCCTCTAGCAAGTTCTTGGTGACAGTTTATGAAGACTTCCCAGAACACAAACGGACTGTATTGACTAGGAATGTTCTTGTCTGCAGCCTCATTGCTCTGTCTGAAGATGTTAGGTGATGGTGAAGCTTTGTTGCTCCTCACTGCAAGGCTCTGCTGATTCTTCCCTTAGTCCACACAGGCCTCAGAACTGTTCTATTACTATGGTTTTTACCACTTGCTTGCTATGAGTATCAGACTTACTGCATTTCTCCAAGTCCCCCACAGCACTTAAAGGCAAGCAATGTCACATGCCATTGTCTTTTCTATGGCTGTTTTAAGTAAAAGGTTATGCACTGTCCCTTAACAGCACAGCAATCTCACATTAGTGTTCCCCCCGAGCGAGCAACATCTGCTTCTCATGAATTTGTTACTATCTATTTCATCTGTTTATTCTAAAACCTCATCTAATGGCTCTTCAATCTAAGGCAGATTCTCTGCATTATCCCCTTAACAAATGGTTCTGTGGTGGGAATTTCACTAAGCTTTTGTGTGCTGAGTGCAGATACAGTAATCTATTTAGCTGTTCTCTTAGGGCTTGTTTTCCCCCAGACTCCTTTGAAACCCTGACCACCTGCTGGCTGCATACCTGGTGACCAGCAGCCCCTCTGGCAGAGCCCCTGCCACTGAGAAACTTCTGGTCCATTAGCAAATTATTTCTTCAAAATATTTTTTAGTCTCCCTGTCTGTTTCTGTTTTTAATGTGACAGAGTTCATGTTCTTTTCCATTTCCTCATTTAAACAGGATTTATTTTGGTTCTTTCCCACTTAATTTTTATCAGGGTATTACAATGAGCTAGTAGTTGTATTTCTTCTGGAAAGTCTCTGATGTTTCTGTTGGGTCAATATTCATACAAAAACCAAGCATTTTAGTCTCACATCTTATTTTTAGACTCGAGGCAAACAGAAACACACACACATCCAGCCTGATTGCTTCAATTTCTATGCCTTTTTAAAAAGGGCTTTATTTGCCTGGGTTGTACCTTGCCATTTCCTGCTTATTTGTGGTTATAAAGATGTTAAAATGGCACCTGCAAGGTGTCTGTAGTTTGAAATCCTTTTTGTCTTATTCTTTTGTACAGAGGCTTTCTTCTGCTAAGGTCTTGACACATACAAGGCTGACCATCTGAAGTTCATTGGAATGAGTTCTTCGTTGCTTGTTCAGTCCTTGGGGTCAGTCTCTGGTGATATCTCATCGGTCACACCTGAGCATCTGCTACTCAGCCAAGCTCCTTGCCAGAAGCAGAAACAAAAATGGGGCCAGTGTGAAGCCTTCAGCTCCAGCTGAAGATGAGCTGTCATCCCAGCGATTTGCAAAACTCCATTTTGATTCTAAATCTATCTGTGCTGTTGAATCAACTCTATCATATTCATCTGGAAATGCCGTGTCAAGGAAACACTCACACGTGGGAATGGATTAATAGTGGAAGGTCGTTAAGCCTCCTTGACTTCCCATAGTGATGAAGAGCCATGAAAGAATGTCACTTAGCTGTCGCCTGTAGGAAAGCATGAACTTCTTTCCTTACTCACATCAGCCCCAGGGCTTACTCAAGTGTGTGGCACAATATCTCCTGCCTGTTCCTCATAACATCCTGCCCTCCTAGGGAAGGATCCTTCCCTCATCCATCTGTAACTTCTGGGAGTGATAATTAGGTTTCAGCAGGCTCCAGGAGCCATCCTTGTGCTGCTCCCAAGCCCCCCATTGTCCACATGTAAGCGAAATGGCCCATACTTGAGTATTGCCTTCCTACCCACACTTTCTAATTGACATTGAATAGCACTTCTGGCAGATGGCAACCAATCTGTCATGCTCATGATGAACTTCAAAGATGTAATTATGGCATAGGAAAGGAATAATTATGTTTTGAGACATTTTTTATCAATCCTTATGAAGGCAGACAGCAGATGGGCTGTGTGATGGATTTCAGAAATTGAGCACAAAATAATAGTTTTCTGCAAGAGGGAGTTTTGTTGGTTTTCTTTGCAAAAACAAAGCCATAAAGACATAGTGTATTGATAAAGGCTTTTGCCTACATTTAAAACAAATTTGCCAGATTTCTGAAAAATACAGGAAAATTGGTGTTCATCATTCTTTATAATTCGAATACAGCTGGAAAAAAACTTCGATGTGACACATTCAATTTTATTTGGACTAAATGTAGTAATTAAAAGGAAAATCATGGCCCAGACCGAGATTTATGTTGTTTTCACAGCCATCGTAAATAGCGTATGCTGCACAATGGTTTTATTCCATCCTGCTCTATTCCCTGTTTTCCACCAGAGGGCGATGTTGGATCGAGCAGTTCGTGAGACAAAAGCACTAGCTTCACAACAACGCCTGAATGAAGTGATGCTGAACTCAGATAGTAGAAGTGTGGGTGCCCGTGAAGATCCCACGTACCTGTAAGGTACTGATGGCCTGGAGAACTCTGTGCTGCAGAGCATAATAATCATGTTCTGTATTTTACGGGAGAGCTTAAAAAAAATGGGCAACAGAAATGTGAAGGCAGCAGCACACCAGAAGCTGTTGTTAACAAAAATAAGAGATTATAATTCTAAACCAAGCCAATGCTATTACAGGACCTCCCAGAGTTTTTTAACCCAGAAAAGACTGCAGGGAAACCTCTGCTTTGGGCAGCCAGCTATCCTTGGTTCCTTATGCGGTGGGGGCAAAACAGCCTCTGGCTCCATCCCTGTGGGGCTGCAGCTTGGCCAGCTCCCAGCAGGCATTTTATCTCACACGTGACATTTGGGTGCTTAGGTACTAGTAACTGTCATTGTTTTATGGCTGATCAGAAATAGTCTCTTTTGCTTCTGAGAATTTCCCCCTCAAATGCCCGTTTTTCTCAGTAAAGAAGCCAAAGTTGATGGGGTTTTTTTGGAGAAAAAAGTGAGGGTTAGTTAAAATTCAGCCATATGAAGAGAGAGTGATTGAGGTGAAAAGAAAGTGGGAAGAAACCTTCTGAAAATGGGCTTCACATAAACTATATCCTGCATCACATGCTGTCCTCTTGTCTTTGTCCTACAAAGACCTCCTTGTTGCTAGCTCAGCCACAGCCATGTTCTGGACAACAATGGTAATCTGCTGTGGCAGAACTCCTGGGTTAATCACTGTCTTTGCCCCAGCTGACAATTTGGATAAAGCAAATGCTGGGGAAAAAAGGCTTGCCCTTAGGGGAGGATGGAGCAGAGGAGGGAGCCCCTGCTTTCCTCACCATGCAGTGCAGGACGGGACTCCAAGGGAACAGGGCCTCTCCTCTCTGCGCCCTGCAGCCTGATGAGTGGAGCAGTGGGACAACTAGTCTCTTTTGGGCATGCAAAAGCTTGGGTTTCTCATGCACAAGAGAAAGGGCTATGTCTCTGAAATAAATAATCTGAATAAGAAAAAAAAAAAATTCCCACTTTGAGGTGTGATGTGAATGAAAAAGCTCCTCTTGACTTTTGAAGGAAAGGGACTTAAGTATCTGAGGTCTGGAAAGTGACAGAGAGCTGGGATACCTTGCAGCACAGGGCAGGGGAGAGCTCTCAATCACTCCACCTCCTCTTTCTCATCAGTGCTGCATTGAGCACTTGGGAACGTGCTGGAGGCCCCATGCTCCCAGGAGCAACGCACGTCTTCACAGAGGTGAGGTGTTGGGGAGATGCACTGATGACTGTTTTTGAATATCCCCCCAAGGCCCGTTATGTCTCTTGGCTGTGTTGTGAGTGTGCCTGCATAACATCTGAACTCCAGCAATAATCACAGAGAAAAATGCTATTGAGATTTGCAGTGGGGTAATTGCCTCAAACAGAAGGATAAATACCTTTTTTTTCTGGCATTTAATGGGCCTCTTAAGTGAAAGGCAATAAACTCTATGCGAACAGATGTTTTCCCTCTTCTTTAGTTCCCTTGCAATTCATACATAATTATGCACTAAAATGTTCTTGTCTGGCTTTCTGAGAGCAATCTTACTGCTGTTTGTCTTAGTGCTGTAAGGCTGAGCAGTCCAGCACAAGGACTGAGCAAGAAGCCCTCGATTTCATAGGAGGCTACAGGCAAAAAGTGAAACACAGGAGGCTGTCTCTGAGC